CTTAGCTTTCCTAACCTGGTCCCTGGCTTCCTGGGCAACGTTCCTGTAATCTTCCCAGGCTGCCTGTCCTCACTTTTACCTTCTATAAGCTTCTTTTTTCCCCTCTAAGTTTCCTCAGCAGCTCCTTATCCATCCATGCAGGTCTCCTGGCCCTCCTGCCACACTTCCTTTTAGTCAGCACGCAACACTCCTGAGCCTGTAGCAGGTGCTCCTTGAATACCAACCAGCAGTCTTGGGCCCCCCTGCCCTCTAGGACTATATCCCATGGAACCTTACTGAGCAGGTTCCTAAAGAGGCCAAAATCTGCTCTCTTGAAGTCCAGGGCAGTGAACTTGCTGCGTGCCCTTCTCACTGCCCTGAGGATCTCGAACTCGACCATCTCATGGTCACTACAGCCAAGGCTGCCCTGGAGCGTCACATTCCCCACCAGCCCCTCCCTGTTGGTGAGCACGAGGTCAAGCATGGCACCTCTTCTTGTCGGCTCCTCTGTCACCTGCAAGAGGAATTTGTCTTCCACACAATCAAGGAACCTCCTGGATTGCTTGTGCCAGGTTGTACTGTCCCTCCAATAGGTATCAGGATGGTTGAAGTCCCCCATAAGGACAAGGGCCTGCAAGTGTAAGACTGCTCCTATCTCTCTGTAGAGCACTTCATCCACAGAGTCCTTCTGATCAGGCGGTCTGTAATAGACCTTTCTGATGAGCTCTTTCTGCTTAGAATTGAGGCTCCTGGACACTGCGTTTCCCCTCACTCCAATGTTGAAGGCATCCTCTCTGGAGCTACTCACCTCAGCAAATGTAAGATGTATATTAATTGCAAGATTTGACATATGGCCCACTATTAAAAGTAATGTAATGGTAGTGCACTGCTGATATATGAAATTTTAATTTTTAATCTTCATTCTAATCTTCCTTATGATACTTAGGCTATAAAATAGAAGCATAAAATCAAACAACAGAGCATTTGTGGAAATAGGTTTTGCATTTTATATGAACAGACAGCAGGAGAGTAAAGAGAGCTTTTCTCACTGAAAATTACTTCCAGAAAATAATACTTTCATATTTGTCCAGATCGTTGTCCAGTCTTGTCAGTGCAAGAAGGGGATCCAGAATGCAAAGCAAGGCCTGGAACTGTAAAAACCCTGATCTGGGTTGGCATATGTTGCCATGGGGCTGTGTTCTCAGCTGGAAATGCAAATACCTGTATGTTTTCTATTAGCTTACTGAAGGCAAAAAATTTACCTCTTTACTTTCTTTAAAACTGCTGGGTCTGTAGGCAGAAAATCAGAGCAAGCAGTTAACATCATGCTGACATTATCACATCTATTACAAACCCCCTACCTGCTTGTAGTGCAGCAGCCCAGGTAGCAGTAATTGATGGGGCTGGGAAATAGCTGCTTGGCAGGGGACAGGATAAAGAGATTTTGGGGAAGAGAACTGAAGCTGGGTAAAGACTGTCAGCAGATAATAGTGGTTGCGTCAAACTGTCTTTCACTTGAGGTACAGCAAACCATGTCTGCCTAGGTAGACGTTTGCTCCCAAATATCTTTATCAGTTCACCTGTAATCTCTAATTCTATTGACAAACCATGTATGAGAAATTATAACAGAAATAAATGAACGCATGTATTACTTTAAATTTCTGTTGTTACATTTAAAGTTATTAGCTGTTTTATCTCATAATCTCTAAACGTAGACTGGCTTGAAACTGGCCATTCGTTGTCTGTATTTGTTTTTCATTGATGCTTTCATTTGAAAGCAGGAAACAATCTAAAAGTAATTGTATTAAGTGTTTCAGCACAAAGATTTTAAAGTATAATAGCTTGGCATATTACTCGATCTTCTCACTATTCCTTGGAGGGAATAAAATGGAGTTGCAACTTAAATTCAGGCAGCTTTTCTACTACATCCTGTTTCCTTCCGCACACTGGAGTAAGCACTGATGTTGGTCTCCCTTTCTACTGCTTCAAATGAAGAAATCCCATTCTCCACGTTACAGCACTCTCCTCAGTGAACACTGGTGTTCTGTTAGCTTTTCGGATACCGATATATGGTTTGGGTTGTTTTGGCAAATGCGTGTTTTTACCTCCACATCAAAGGAAATCAATGCAAAGAACAGAATATGCATAGCTACCCAGATAAGTGCCCTGCACAGTTTTCCTGGGCATTTTCCATGGCTGCTGAGACTGCCTGAAGGGTGGCTAGCACCTTCCTGAGAGCTGTGAAGTGCTATGTGAGAAGTTGCTGTGTTTCCTGGAAGGCTGACATCTCTGCTTTTCTTTCTCTCTCACTGAAAGGTAGACTTGCAGTCCCCTTTCTCTAAGGAAAACTGACCCTTTAAAAGGCTTGGCATGAAAAGCATTAACTCCCTGGAAACTCTGTTTGGAAATGTTAGGAGACTGCTATGTGTATACGCTGGCAATCTCTAAGAGACAAATTATTTTCCCACCCTCTCAAGTACTTGGTAGTTTATCTATTGTTTATATTAAAGATTGATCATGGTTATATATTCGTGACTCAGAGTTCTCATTAATCACCCTGTACCACAGAAGAGACCAGAGAAGAAGAATGGGGGTTACTGGAAAGCAGACATGTAATCCCTGGCTTTGCTTTTAATATGACTTATCCTGACATTAGCTTTGTTCCTGTGAATTATTGTGTTTGTGTAAACCTCTTTCTTTTTTTTGTTTCCATGTGTGGTATGTCTCTTTCTCAGGGCTGTTCAGTAAAAGATAATATACTTGTTACAATGATTTTGGAGAATGTTAATCATGACACTTGCCATATTACTATTTCGAGAGGTCCCTGCTCCCCTGCAGCCACCCCCTTGTTTGCTAGCTCTTCCTCCCCCAGCCATTTCCTCCCTCTGAGCAGAGCCACGCAGGCAATTGTTTCAGCCTGTGCAAAATGAAGAAGAGGTGGAAAAGGACCCGTGGGATGAGGACAAATGTACAAAGGCTGGGACTTCCTAAAGCGCATCGGCTGCCAACAGAAAGCTGCTTTCTCCCACAGCAGCAGAACAGATCTGTGCCTCCTCCTCGACCCTGTTCAAGGTTTCCAGCCCCAAAATGTTCAATCAGCTGTTTGTGGTCCCCTCTGATCCTAAGCATGAGAGTCAAAACTGCTGTCAAGAGTGAGAGAAAGAAAAGGAAATTTACTAGTTTTTGCACGCTGATTTGGGTTATGAGTACACATTACCAGCGCTGCTTGGAGTCAGGTCCAGAAGCCTCTGGAGCGAGCTATTTTCCCACCCTGCCTGAAAATACCTTCACATCTTCCAGCAGCACACACTGAACCCAACTCTTCAGTTTGTTCTGGTGGGAAATAGTTACATTGGCAAATTTTCAACCAACAGAAGATTTAATCCCTTGATATTTTTTTTTTTTTTTAATTGCTGCATGCTTGTAGTTTGTCTCATAGAAATAAATTTTTTGGATTTTAAAAGAGATAATCGAAATAATAGATATTTGAAAAATCAGTCTCTGAAGAGACTGACATGATTTAATACAGTCTAGCTTCTCTTTTATTTGTAGATCCACTAAAAATATTGTGCCAAGTGTATCCTAATTCTGTACACATTTTTCTCCTGAGTCATGTTACGTTAATGTCTGATTTTGGTGCAAAATCCCATTATAAAATTCGCTATTTAATACTGTCTACAACACTGAGGCATAACAGTAACTGCTGTTTTGTGTTTATAATTAAGCATCCTCTTCACAAAAGCAAGAAATGATCAGAAGTTCTGCAAACCTATGAGAATTTAGGCCTATTAGTTGTGATGAAAGTATATCTTTAGTGAAATCAAGGGAGGAGGAATAATATAGAGAAGTATATGTGAAAGACATTGAAAATAAATATAATTACACAGAAAAGCTATTTTAGAGGACTAGATGTTTTTAAAATACTTTGATTCAAACTATTTTGGATTGCTTTGGGTTTTTCCCCCCCATGTGACTACTTCTGATGACATACTGTACATATCAAGAATAAGCTAATTTATTTCTGAGATGGGAATAGTTTTTTAATCAGACTCAGCAATGTAAATAGACCTCTATTTTAAAGTTCATTCAAAACTGAGTACTGGTGTATATTTAAGTGCACTGTATGCTAAAGTACAAATATCTGCCAGTGTTTAACTGAAAGCATGTTTTATGTGTGGTTTTGTTTTGTTTTTTTAATGTTTAACAGTAACTGAAGCTGGCTTTGGTGCTGACATTGGGATGGAGAAATTCTTCAACATCAAATGCAGAGCCTCTGGCTTGGTTCCCAGTGTGGTTGTACTTGTCGCTACAGTGAGGGCTTTGAAGATGCATGGAGGTGGGCCAAATGTAAGTTTTTGCACCTTTTTTAGAGAATTAAATTGTTGCTGATATTTGAAATAACTGAAATATCTTGGTATAAGAAATACTGGGGGTAGCCTATGGGGCAGTATTTGGATATCCTTCCTGAGTTACATCATTATGTAGAAGTTACCTCTATGCAAGAATGGAAAGGCACAGGTGAAAGAGGAGGGACAAAAGAGCTCTGTAGAAGTACTAAATCTTGCTAATTTGCTTGCATGAAATAAAAAGCTATAGTATGTATATATATTCTTTTCCCTGCCTTTTTGAAATAGTGTTTATAAGTTCACTCACTATGTGCACTTTCCCAGCCAGTAGTCACAGGCTGGGAAAGTTGGCAGCTGAGGAGGAATTTGAAGGGTTTGAGTTCCTGTATGCATGTAGAAGCAGGGAACATTCTTAGGGAAGGTTTTGTGATTTGTTTCACTGCAATAATGGGAATCCCTTCTGTCCTTTTAATCTGCCAGTTTAATTCCCTCAGGGATACTGAGGTAACTGATAAAATTTTGCAAGTGTTTTCCCGGTGTACCAAAAGTCACCAGTATATTGGTTTTTGCTGTTTAAGCCATGAAGAGACTTGTACAGATTACTGATTGTAGAAGTACTCCTCAGTCACACAATCAGATCATACTCTACTAGCCAAGCAGACAGACACACTTTAAGCTGTCCAGCAGCATGCAAGAGGTGGTACTACCAGGGAAACAGTCTCACTGGGTGAAAATACCAGAGCTTTTTCCACAGCCACAAAATTTTGGAATGCATGGTCTCCCTTACAGCTAATCATTTCTTAGCGCTAAAGCTGAGTTGTCCTTTCATAGTCTTTCAGTTTGACATAGTTATATAACTTCCTATATTTTCAGTCCACTTCTAATACAAATTTTCTTTACTTTTACCGATATTCCTCCATGCCTACCAGGGCAGGTGTATTGTCATGTGTGTATCATTAAATCTAGCAAAAATAAGGCTTAAATATGTCTTATTAACTGTTTCTATTTCTATCTGATCTGTGTCTTCAGAAGTATAAAGCTTTCATTTGTTTACATAATGTACCCGATATTTTTACTGGGAGATTAGCTATGAAATGGACTAAAACCGAAGTGACTAAGCCCAGTTCCTGGGATCAGTGTGTTGTGGTCCTTGGAGATTCAGAGTAGCACCCTGGTGGTACTCTTTTTCTGTGTACCTTTGTGCTTTCAGCAAAGCAAATTATTTGCATTCAGCTCCTTGTCATGTGCAATAATTACAGGACACCCAAAGATGATGTTCCTCTTCTAGACACTTGTGTAACTGTTACTCCTTCAGCCAGCTCTTGGAGGTTGCTGTCCATTGTCTTTGCACTGCTGGTGCATTGTTAAGCATGGGATCCAAGTACTTCGCCTCTAAGAAATCTTTTACAGCTAGTTTCTGAATTACTGCCTGTATCTTGCTATTCAAATACAATAGGAAGTGTTGCTTTTCTCCATGTATTGGTGTTACTTGGAATAAAACAGAAGCTGCAGTTGAGCTGTGATGTTGCATGCAATGTTATGTGCTGACTGGCAGTATAGAAAGTAAGCAAAAGTGCACTTCTGACCAATTAGGATTATGACAAGTGTCAATCTGTGATGATGTCGATTGTTTATTATTCCAGGTAACTGCTGGTGCCCCCTTGAAGAAAGAATACACAGAAGAGGTAAGAAGAGCTATTACAAAACTTTAGGAGAAGTTTTTGTTTAAAGGGACAAACAAACTTGGTGTATGGAGAATCAGAACCTCTTGTTCTTCTGGCTGGATGCTGTGCACTGTCGTGTTTAACAATAGTATGCTCTAATGCTGACATTCAGTAACACCTTTAGCAGGCATAGCCAACAAGTAAAGCTATCTCATCTTCCCCCATCCACTTAGTGTTATCCCTCTTGTGTGTGCTATTTTTGTGACTGCATGGTAGATTGTACTGAGGAACTGAGCTAGCTGAAAAATAACTTTTTTACAGTAGTTTTTCCAGAACCACTAAATTTTCAGGCTGATCAGCTCTTCAGTCCATCATAGTGTCATTTAAGGAAGGACAAGAGCAGAGTGGTGCAGAGGTCAAAAACACTCCCTGAAGTTAATTATAGCTTAGCCTGTTCATTAAACAATAGGTTTAATCTCTTTGTGCTTCACATTTTGTGTTGGATGTCACTCTTCAAACAAGAGTTGATTCTAGAGGTTTGTTTTCTTGTCTGTTCACTGTAGACAAATTCTGGTCTTTTGGTTTTATCAGACTAAGGATATGTGTGTTGTTGCAATTAAGACAAGGCCTACACAGTGTGAGGTAAAAGATTAAATACGCATCTAGCACATCTAGAGACTAACATACAAGAGACTAACAGCCCTTTCACAGTTGTGATAGGCAACCAGTCGTCAGCTGCACTGTCGTCTTCTGTCCCAGAAGACAGCAATGCATTCATGTACAAATTTTGGGCACTGCTTAGTTACTTAAATATGTCTGTTGCTTATTGATTGAAATGAAAATTAGTAAGTGCCAAGATATTTTTGTATGGAAGCATTTTACTTGCCTGCAACTGTCATGATCAGCACTGTTTATGTTCAGTTTAATTTGTGGAAAATTCTTTGGCTGGAGAAGACTTGATGTATCTTACAATTTCCGTTAATTTTTATTTAAATGCACAGAATCTCCAGCTGGTAGCTGGTGGCTGCTGTAATCTGCAAAAACAGATTCAAATTGCTCAGCTCTTTGGAGTTCCTGTTGTGGTTGCTCTAAATGTCTTCAAGTAAGTCTAATCTTTCATTACTTTTATGAGTAAATCCACAGTTAAAATTTCACACTGTTCTTGATTTTTATATTAATCAATTTTGGCATGGAGAAAACAAGCTATTAAAGAATTTCCTTTTTTCATCATGAATATAAAGACCTTGAAATCCTTGTCTTGTTCTTAAGGTTTTAAAACCATTTAAAAAGTATATACTGTTACAGAACTAGAAATCTTACATGTTAATTGCCTATAACACATACATATGCTGTATATAAATGCATTAAGTATATGGCACAGTTTCTATGTAGACTTGCTTTACAACGGCTGATTGTAGAATAAGTCTAAGTATATAATGCTATAAAAGAGAACTAATTAAACAAAATAATGAGATGGAACTGTTTGGTTGGCAGAACTGACTCTGCTGCTGAGGTTGACCTGGTATGTAAGATTGCAAAGCAGTCTGGAGCATTTGATGCTGTACCCTGCAATCACTGGTCAGCTGGTGGTAGAGGAGCAGTAAAATTAGCTCAAGCTGTGGAAAAGGCAGCCAGGCAGAAAACCAGTTTCAAGTATCTCTACAGCTTGCAGGTAAGAGGGTTTATATGGTTTTCTGAGGGGTTGGTTAGTTGGTTGGTTGGGTTTTTTGGTGGTTTTTGTTTTGTTTTAATAAATGCATGCTGCATCAGTATTAGAATTAAAACAAGAACATTGCAACAAAGCTATCAAACATACTTGGAAAGGGGCTTGACTTGGCTTAAAATTACAAAAGCTGGAAAGAACAAAACAATCTGTGGCTTATCTAATCAGAGGAGTAGGATACTTGCTGGTAATGCTAGTTATTTAGTTTATTGAATGATGATTCTAATACTTTCTTGTTTACCATAAAAGTATGTCTGTAGGTGGAACATTCACAAATTATTATGGGAGACTTTTCCATGAAGATCTCACATGTGATATTTGTCCTGAAAATCAGCTAAAATGAAATGCAGTTAGCCTGCTGTTCCCCTGTCCTGTTCCAGTTACTGGCACCATGGTCTGCTGAGGTTCATAACTCACTCCAGCTGCTGGCACTCAGACCTCTCCTCCTGCTCTTTAGCATACACATCTAGAGTAGAGAGCACACCCACACAGAAGACAGAAATCAGATTTAATGAGAATAGAGGACAGACTGTAGCCCTCAGGCACAGACCTCAGTCAGACAAGCTGCTGACCAGACACCTTTACACTCAACTGGCCCCATCTTCCCTTTTTCCCTCTATTTTTTCTCATACTACTTCTTCAATCCATCTTGATTATGCTCTTTCCCCATCTTTGGTCCTTTGACTAAACATGCCCTAACAATCTTTACACATTCCCACAGTCGTAAGTTTTACACTTTTGTGTAAAATGCTTTTCTTACTACATCCTGTAACAAGTCCTATGCTGCTGTAGCCAATCACACCCTTTCATTTGCAAAGTTTTCTGATGAGTTTCTCCATTGACTCACCTTGGTGCATTTCACACCAAGGACAATGGTCTCATCCTCCCCCTTGTATGGTCTTGGGAAACAGGCAATTCAGTGTGCTCTTATTTTCACTGATCAGATTTTTCCACTGATTACATTACTAGGGTTCCTCCACCTATCATTGTTCCTCTGATCCTTGCTTGGGCTTTGTGTTTAATTTGCTTACCCTTAGTCAGATAACCTAACAAAGGATATTGTGGTCCAAGTTTCAATTCTGAGATTGAAGACTTGGAGAGCATTATTTTAGTTGTCTGTCTGTAAGGTAGCAGCTCAGCAGCATGAACTGTCAAGAGGAGCAGCTTGCAAGGAAGGGCTGCTCAGGCCCCTGAAAGTACTATGCTGGAGTCCCGCCATGCAGGCAGAACATTTGGAGGGATGTATTGCTGAGAAGGTTATACAAATGATTTCTCAGGACCTTTCTGACTGTCCAAATGTGGGTGGGTTAAAATTTGGGCAGCAAAATAGACTTCTCTGGCACCAAAGAAGCCCTTGTCAAGTTTCAGATCCTGTTGCCCAGTTGATAGTGCTACTTAAGTTTCTTCAGAAAATGTTTGAATGCTATTTTTTAACAGCAGAATCCCAGCTTCGTTCTTTTAAATGGCTGAAAGTTCCTGTTTTGACTCTTTTTTCCAGTAAAAAGTTCAGCCTGAGGTAGATATGCCCTGTGTTGTCTTTCACTCTCCTCCCTGATATGTACCCCGTATCTGTTGCACCCATTTCATTTCTTCTTTCCACCTCCCACACTGTTTTCCCAAATGTCAGTAATTCAGCCAATTCTTATTGGTATTAACTACTGCCTTCACAGAACAGATGAAAATACCTTGGTAATTTGAGTGCTGTAGCATCTATTCAAGGCATTTTGCCCACAGAATTTTTTTACAGCCAAAAAATAGACAATGTATCTGCCTTTGTGAGTTTGTCTCTAATCAGATACTCTGGAAAAAGAGGGTATCATTTTTCAGGATTTGCATAATAAAATGGAAACAAAAAAAAAAAAAACCTACCAAAAACTTTCAGAAATATGTGTAATAGTTTTCCCTATAGGACATTTACGTTACAGAGATAGTACATTATAATTTGATGAGTCCCATATTTAAGCTCTGGTGTTATAATATTCCATGTAGGTTACAGTCCTGTGGTATGAATGAGTAGAAAGGATTAGTAAGGGTGGAGTCTGCCTGTATGAAGGAAGAAAATGAGATTGATTTCTACTTTAATGTCTTTCCCAGAGACATTGTTCTGTGCTGTGTTGCATAAGCAGCATGATCTTAAGCACAAAGGGAATAAATCACATCTTTACATCAACTTAATATCCCATAACTTAACACAAGTATTATAAGCCTCAAAAAATATGTTGAAAGGATTTAAAAATACTGTAAAATAAGTAAATTCAGGCCAACAAAACAAGTAAAGTGTAAAGTTCAGGCTTCTGTTTCATTCTTACTATGCAAAGGACGGGGACTGAAGCAGTTGGAAGTAGCAAAGTGAAACAGCAATGCTGTCACTGGTACAGTATGATAGGTCATTTGGTCACTGGGCTCAGAGAGACATGATGGAAAGACACGTTTTCCAAATGAGCCTTTCCAGATATTAATTGAGGCTGTAATAGGATTTTTTTTTATCTAGCAGTTTAGAGGACTGATATCTTCTGTTCAAAGGGGTAACTGTGATTGACAGGATAACAGTCAACTTTATTTTGAATAATACCTAGGGGTAACAGAAAATAAGAAAGAGTAGAGGTAGTAAGATGGGATTCAGACAGATGATTTCTCCCTGTCATTGTGCCTAGAGGGGATGTAAGTGACAAGACGTACTTCCATCCTTCGTTATTAGCAGTAATTATAACAAATACTATAGTAGCGTGTGGCTTTAATATGGATTTTTGCCCCCGCTGCACACTAACCTCTGACTTTACTGTTGAATTTGTTTCTTACAATGAATTTTTCTTCTGTGTTTGGAGGATGGGTTTGGCTTAAAGTCCTCCTGAACAATATGAAACAATCTTGGGGGGGGGGGGCTGGATTTTTTTTTAAATATATATATTCTTGCTACATGAGGAAAATATCAAAATATCAACTCTCTTATCACTATTGACTTCCCTTCTGGGTTCATTTTTATTGAAGTATGGGTGTTTTAAGTTGCAGCAGAAAGCTATTACTCAAAACAAACTTGACTGACCCATTAAAAGTAAGTTTAGATAACTAGCGGGAGGATAGGAAAGGATGGAAACATACACATCCTATTACCAAATTTGTCTGGCTTCAGAGCCTCTTCTTGGCAGGGGGGAAGCTATATTCCTCACTGGTGTATGACTGTTGAGTAACCTGCCTTCTTGCACTATCCTGCTCTCCTGTTTTTTCCTGTGGTGAACTCTTCCTTGACTTACAGCAGCCCCCCTTAACCTGGGGGAGGAAACACAGGTCTGAATGAAGGCAGGCATTAAGTTTATAAGAGGTGCATTGCTCCTTCCTGCAAGACAGCTGGAGCGCAGTGGACTAACACTCCAGGAGATAGAAGGTCAGGCATATGGCATGAGGCAGGATTGGCGTATCTGGCCAGTCAGTGAGTTAGTATCCTCCCATTAAGAGACTGAGATGGTAACCTGACAGATAAAACCCAACAGAAAAGCCTCAAATAACCTGATTTATGCAGCATTAGAAAACTAAATTGAAGCATGTAAAGGTCATAAAAAGGAGAGGAGAAGGCATTGTTCCAGTTTTCCTTGTTTGTCAGATGACACCTGTTTTTTCCAGTGCTCTGCCTTTAGGTAACATAATGACAAATGAAAAAATTTCCAGGTTGTACTGTGAAAGTTGATTGCACATTTATTTTGACTGAGTGCTGTGAATTACCTGGCCAGACTGCAGAAAAAAGGAGAGCGTTCTCAGCTTGGAGCCTGAGGGACACCACTAGTTACTGGTCTCCAATTGGACATTGCGCCGTTGACCACAGCTCTCTGCGTGCAGCCATCCAGCCAATTCTTTATCCACTGAGTGGTCCCTCCATCAAATTGGTGTCTCTCCAATTTAGAAACAAGGATGTTGTGTGGGACAGTGTCGAACGCTTTGCACAAGTCCTGGTAGATGACGTCAACGGCTCTGCTGCTGCCCATCAGTTCCGTAGCCCCACCATAGAAGGCCATCTGGACTTTTTGCCCCATTGCCTTCTTGTTGGGACACAGTGCTTCTGAGCTTGGAGCAGGTGATCCTTGACTAGCATTCTTGGGCCCCCTAGGGCTTTATCCCATGGAACTTTATTGAGCAGGTTCCTGAAGAGGCCAAAGTCTGCTCTCTTGAAATCCAGGGCAGTGAGCTTGCTGCGTGCCCTTCTCACTTCCCTGAGGATCTTAAACTCCACCATCTCATATTCACTGCAGCCAAGGACACCAAGGCTGTCTTGGAGCGTCACATTCCCCACCAGCCCCTCCCTGTTGGTGAGCACAAGGTCAAGCATGGCACCTCTCCTTGTCAGCTATAATAATAACCTGGGAAAATCTGGAGCATTCGTCCACGGTTTGGTCATCAAACTGGTCACCATTTCAATCCCATTGTGATTGAATGCAGGTGCTGTCAGAGGTATTATGAGGATTTTCTGTTTCCTCCACCAACACCATGGCTGCTAAGCCATGAGAGTTATCCATTGTGTGCCTGCTGTCACATCAGCCCAACATAGCTCTGTTCTTTTGCCTAGGAGGCAAATAACTTCTGTGTCATTCTTTATATAGTGTAGAGTTCAATAATGTATGGACCCAGTGGAAGGTCCTTAAGCACTACTGGAATAGGAATAAATAAAATTATATACGCTCCTTACTGAAACTTTTCCAAATAAATGATGGAGATAATTTCTCATCTGAAAATGCAGACTATGCTGCCCTCCTGGATATGCTAGTTTTTAAGCTATTTCCCCCCACCCTACTGCTAGTAAGCCATCTAGCAGTGAAGATACATTAAAGAGGAACTCCACAGGGCTGTACCAGCCCCTCCTCCCACTCCCATCAAAGAGATTTTGGTGGATTCTGGACACTTCTTCCTCTGAATTGGGTGTTGAAAGATGTCTTTCTTTCAATCCATCCCTATTTTTTGAG